AGCATCAAAGATTACTACATGAATTTAGTCTTACGACAGTACAGAAACAAATACAACAAATCAGCATCAAAGATTACTACATGAATTTAGTCTTACGACAGTACAGAAACAAATACAACAAATCAGCATCAAAGATTACTACATGAATTTAGTCTTACGACAGTACAGAAACAAATCCAACAAATTGGCATCAAAGATTACTACATGAATTTAGTCTTACGACAGTACAGAAACAAATACAACAAATTGGCATCAAAGATTACTACATGAATTTAGTCTTACGATAGTACAGAAACAAATACAACAAATCAGCATCAAAGATTACTACATGAATTTAGTGTTTGTGAATATATAAAATGTAAATCTATCCCCGAGATGGAATCAAGAAATAACCTGACGAACGAAGTTTTGTTGACTTTGATTAAGAAAGAGAGTGTACCGTGTGACCAGATATTTAGATGAGAAATCAGAAATGCTGTTGTCTGTTTTTCAACCGGCAAATGGGATTGATTAAAGTAAACTAAATGACTGAATATTTTTTATTTTGTCAAAATAATCTTGTATAAATACCACCTGAAAATGAAAAGCCTTGAAGAATTGGCACAATGCAGGAATAACGAAGGGAAAATTAGATGACTAACTAACAAGCCACTCTGGTGGACGAAAGTATACATAGATATGAAATTATTGTTGGAAAAAATGCAGAAGCAATTCAGTACCGAATGTTGATTATATTTATTATTCAAGCTAACCAGGCCTAACCCTAAAGCAGTTGTAGCGTAAGAAGACCTACAGACACTGTACAAAAATAACATTAACCAGGCCTCACCCTAAACCAGTTGTAACGTAAGAAGGCCTACAGGCACTGTAAGGAATATCATTAATCAGACTTAGCCCTAAACCAGTTGTAACGTAAGAAAACATACACACACTGTACAGAAATAACACTAATCAGGTCTAACCCTAAACCAGTTGTAACGTAAGAAGACCTTCAGACACTGTACAAGAACAACACCTACCAGGCCTAACCCTAAAGCAGTTGTAGCGTAAGAAGACCTACAGACACTGTACAGAAATAACATTAACTAGACCTAACCCGAAACCAGTTGTAATGGTAAAAAAAGAGATATACAAAATGTATAACACCCTTTCACTCTTGAATCAAAAATTTTATCATATATTTCATTTAACTGAATGATTATTATTCAACAGATTACTTGGATTATTGTTGTTTTACTTTTTGTTCATATATAGAAGTTACCGATACAACTACTAGAGGGCATCACTAGTGTGTAAGATTGTACACAAATATCACCAAAGAACCTGAAAGTTCCGTTTCGTTAAACCGTCACATTCTTCAAATAAATATGTTAATAAAAGCTTGTTGTTCTTGTACAGTGTCTGAAGGTCTTCTAACGTTACAACTGCTTTAGGGTTAGACCTGATTAGTGTTATTTCTGTACAGTGTGTGTATGTTTTCTTACGTTACAACTGGTTTAGAGTTAGGTCTGATTAATGATATTCCTTACAGTGTCTGTAGGTCTTCTTACATTACAACTGGTTTAGGGTTAGGCCTGGGTAGTGTTGTTCCTGTCCTGTACAGTGTCTATCGGTTTTCTTACGTTACAAATGCTTTAGGGTTAGGGCTGGTTAGTATCCCCCCCCCCCCCTACAATCTCTTATCGATGGTATGAACTTTGAAGAAGATTCCTTTTCACTTCTTATCATTACGTTGGTATGAATTGTGGAAATCGTGATCATCATTACCCAGGAAGAAAAAAGGAAATGTCGTAATATATTTGATTATCAAATTATTGAGAAGATGTTTGTAAATTGAGAAACGATAACGTATCTGTTTTATCGGACTACGAGAAAGTTGAGATATAACATATTACATGTTACGCAGGAACAGAAAACAAATGTACTCTTGTTATATCTGAAAGTCCAAGTGTCAGTTTAATTTCAAAGAAAGGTATTGTTCTTCTACATTTAAGGTAATTGGCCATATAATTAAAATAATTAGCCATATAATTAAGATAATTGGCCATATAATTAAAATAATTGGCCATATAATTAAGATAATTGGCCATATAATTAAGATAATTGGCTATATAATTTAGATAATTAGCCATATAATTAAGATAATTGGCCATATAATTAAAATAATTGGCCATATAATTAAGATAATTGGCCATATAATTAAGATAATTGGCCATATAATTGAAATAATTAGCCATATAAATAAGATAAATGGCCGTATAATTAAAATAATTGGACATATAATTGAAATAATTGAGCATATAATTAAGATAATTGGCCATATAATTGAAATAATTGAGCATATAATTAAGATAATTGGCCATATAATTAAGATAATTGGGCATATAATTAAGATAATTAGCCATATAATTAATATAGAAAATATCTATGTTGAAACAATAAACTTTCTGTTCGACAATTTGAAGTTCTTTACTTGAAAAGATGTAGAGAAATAAATGTGCTGACAGTTTCTTGTTAAAACATCTGAAGCTTTGTTGAACTGATGGCTAAACTTTCGAAGACCAAAAGTTGGATTACTAAATGTAAAAAAACAACAACAACAACAATGTTAATTAATGCACGGAGCTCTTGTCTTGAAGAAGAAGAAGTGGCGGGAAAGTAATATCAAATAAGAAAAAAAACATTTTTGTTTCAACATCGTTTGATATCAAAGATAAGCTACACAACGGACTACCTGTGCTACTCCCACTACGAGTATCGAAACCCGGTTCTAAGCGGTGTGAGCCCCAAGAATTGGCTCATATCTTCAAAACGTGAGCACGTGATTTTAATTATCGTCAGTAACTAATTTGTTTTCTTCAAATTTAGTCACGTCTGTAAAACCAAAACTCTCAAGTTTCTTTTAATTATAACCCTGTCTAATTTGACACTTTGGAGAGACCCAAAGTCGACATTTAACACATACACACATACATACACTACGCTGACACGTGAATACGTATATATGCAGAAAGACATATATATTAGGTTTTCAGGAATAAACAGTACGTTTTATCTACGTGATGAGTAACAATGAAATCAAAGCCACTATAGAGAAACGTTACTATTTTCGTATCTTGTAACGGAAAATTCCTCTTCCGCTACATACGTCTGACAAAGCGGCAGCTTCGACAGCCGGCCTGATGTAAGGCCTTCTGTTGCTGTCACTACTTGTTTTACAGGGCAGTAGCTGCGTGTCAGCCAGTTTGATAACGCCCTCGTGTTGTTATCGTTACTACTTGTTTTACAGGGCAGTAGCTGCGTGTCAGCCAGTTTGATAAAACCCCTCGTGTTGTTATCGTTACTACTTGTTTTACAGGGCAGTAGCTGCGTGTCAGCCAGTTTGATAAAACCCCTCGTGTTGTTATCGTTACTACTTGTTTTACAGGGCAGTAGCTGTAGACGTAGAATGGATATCACCATGTAAGCATTACAATGAAGACGTAGAATAGATATCACCATGTAAATATTACAATGAAGACGTAAAATGGATATCACCATGTAAGTATTACAATGAAGACGTAAAATGGATATCACCATGTAAGTATTACAATGAAGACGTAGAATGGATATCACCATGTAAGTATTACAATGAAGACGTAGCATGGATATCATTACATGGTGATATCCATTCTACGTCTTCATTGTAATACTTACATGGTGATATCCATTCTACGTCTTCATTGTAATATTTACATGGGTATTACAATGAAGACGTAGAATGGATATTACCATGTAAGTATTACAATGAAGACGTAGAATGGATATCATCATGTATGTATTACAATGAAGACGTAAGACATATTGACCAGGTAAATATTACATTAGACTTGTACTATTCCATTATGTTATTGGGAACATTTCTATTTTTTTCTCATTCATCGTTTGTCTATTTATATATCTTATAAAAGTAATTGTTTTATCATTAGTTCAAATCGTGTCTTTAACAAAAAGTTACATTTTTAAAACTATGCTAGTGATCACTTTTTGTTTTCATGCCAGAAAATCATGTGAAGACTAAAATGGATTGGTGTGTACTGTAACGACGTGGTGAGACTCCAAAATAGTTTTATTATTACGTACTCGACTTTTTAAAACTCCCTTAATTAAAAGGTTAAGTTTTAAATTTTCCTTTTTTAAAAAACTAAAAACCTTTACTATCAAATCACGGATGGCTGGTCGAGAGGATGGACAAACTTCTCAAAGCACGGATGGCTGGTCGAGAGGATGGACAAACTTCTTCTGAGAATTTCAGAGGAAAACAAAGAGTAAAATAGTTTGGGTTTTACAGTTTCCTTGAGCGCTAAAAGAGAACAACAAAAAAACACAGTTTTATGCTCCAGTTGCTACACGTCGCTCCTTCTTAAAATTTACGTCACAGACTTACATTTATATTCAAAGAAGCGCATCCGTCGTCTCCGTTATCCGGACTTCAAACGACATCTTGAAAGGTAAGAGAGAGAGAAGAGATGAAATGCAGTTTCTATATGTCATCTTATCATGTTTTGAGCCTAAGTTAGATAAGATAATTTATACCTTCAGTGAGAAATAGTAAAAGTGTTAAGTTTCCTTTTCTGTTCATATTTAATGACTTTCGGCAAATAACCTAGTTTGAAGAGTATTGACTTGTAAGGATCTATTATTTTATTTATTTTTAACTAGCAGAGTACCCGGATGAGAATGGCTTTAACTTATTTAGTTCTTTATTTACATGCTAATTTATTGATCTATCATAAAGCTTCTTTGTACATAATATTTTTTTGTCTCGCTGTGAGGAGCAAAGAAGAAGAGATTATGATCAGAGAAGAAAATGAAGTCTTGATATCGATTTAACACATAATTGATCATGGATACAATGATTAGGAGAAGTCCTTACACAGAGAAAAAAACGTAAATAATAGCCCTCTTGATCACACATTACCAAAAAAGATCAGGCCTTTTTAATTTGACACCAGTTGGTCGTCCTGTTTGCCAAAAAATTGCTATATTGGTTACTTTGGCCTCAAAACGGCCTCTAAGGCCGCAGCCACATAGCCCATTTTACTTTCCGCACAAAGCTGTATCTGTACCCAGAGTTTGGAGTTTGTAGCTTTAAAAATGTGGCCGTGCATAAGGAACAGACCCACAGAGACATTCGTACTTATATATATATATATACTAGCTGAGTTAGCCGGCGTTGCACGGTAAAAATTTAGATTTGAAATGTATAGATCAGTTATTTTTTTCAGCAAATTATTCAGTAAGTAGACAAAAGCTGTGATATGAAG